GGTCAGGGCATTGTTATGGAAGAACATGGCTCGCTGCAGCTCAAGGTACTTGCGCCAGAAGGGGAGATGCTTGACCTGGCGCTCTTTCTTGACGGCACGGGGGCTGTCTTCCTCCAGCGACTCGATTGCGTCCACGAACCAAAGATTGCTCGTCTGAAGAACATTTTTGTTACCATTAATCTCGGCTTGCTTAAAGGCCCACTCAGGAAGGGGTGTTGTATGGGTCCACATCGCGACGCGAGTGGGCACATGGATCAGCTTGAAATGACTTGAGAGAGTGCGGAATTCCTGTTCAGGCTTGCCGTTCTCGATCTTGATCTCGAACAGCGTGTCGTTGTGCCGCTCACCATTAGCCAATTCCTGAGAAACTGTGGTGAACTCCTGGTTGGTAGGATAGTAAGGAGACGCAACATCGTGCGTCAGCAGGATGGTGTCAGTGCCAACGTGACGGAATTGGACGATGTCGCCATTCTTGACGCTGTGGCCCTGCCTGTCGGTGTCAGGATAGGGAACAGAAGGCAGAATCTGCCAGTGGTTGTTCGTATCGTTGAATGGGTATCCTGTGACCTGCTGGCCCTGGCTGGAAATACGGCCATCATCATAGCGGAGGGGATACTTCTCCCAGTGGCTGTGAAGGAACACCTTGGTGTCCTTGTGTCTCATAGTGATTGTGTCATAGTACTCAATGCCGATCGACTGCGCCGACATGAGGTTGTCACTGAGGGTTTCCTGGAACTCGGGGGTCATGAAATCATCGCCTGGCCCGGAGCGGGTGAGAATTGCGAAATGGACCTGGAACCAGAACAGGTAGAAGAAGAAAGGCACAATGATGAGGGCAAATGCGCGGGCAGCAAAGTGCTTGCTCCAATGGGCCATGCTGAGAGCTCCCGACGGGCGGTTGATATCCAACAAGTTCCACAGGTCAACCAAGACCGCAGAACCAATGGTGACAAATGTGAAGACACCGACGTACTTCGTAGAGATGACGCAGCTGAGGCAAACGCCAGTCAAGAGCAGCCACTTCCACCATTTACGGCCAAAGGGTTCATGGCGCAGCTTGTAGAAGCGAACGTAGCACAGAATGCTCAGTGCCATGGAAAGCACCAAGGAGGCATCCAGCAGAACCAGCCTGTCCTCTCCGACGTGGGCATTATCAAACAGTACGAGACCGGCAGCCAACACACAGGCTGGCAGCGAATATCCGGACTCCCACATGATGAGGAAGACCACTGGGATGGTCAGAGCCCCCAGAGTGGCCGGCATTGCGCGGAGAGCGACATAGGGAACTTTGTTATCGATGTAGGAGTCGCCAATGTTGTCGAACAAAAAGTGGCCGTCATAGCCAATCAGCCAGCCCATAAAAGCGAAGAGCAATTTGCCAAATGGAGGGTGGACATCGAAGAAATAAGTTCTTTGTAAGTAGTAAGAAGCGAACTGAGAGAATCAAGTCCCATGTCAGATTGTACAACTCATAAATGAGAACAGCGTCACTCACCTTGCCAAAATGCACCTCATCAAAGACCACTTCATTAGGGTAGGATATCTTGTAGAACCGGGTAATGAACGCCAGGATGGTGAGAATGACTAAGGCCAGCCTATAGTCCCATCCCGACTGGCTCTTGGGAGCCACGCTCGGCTTGGATGAAGACAAAGGAGAGGAGGCATCGTCCGAAGGCAATGGAGAATAAGCCTCCTTCCTCCCGCCTCTCTTGCGAAGAGAGGACGAAGGAGATGAAGACATGATCCGAAGAAAAAGTACACGAGACAAGAAAAAGGGCTAAGAGAATGACAGTCGATCACCTAGATAAAGCTGGAATGGACAGATAAGATCAGCGAACCGAACAGGACAGTGAAGATAAGCTCCAGGATCAGAGGATCGCCATTGAGCAATAACTTACAATGATGATCACGGAGAGTACATGGTAGTACGGAGTACAATACAGTAGAACAGATGGTAGTGAGGCTTGGAAGAGGAGTGGGGGAGGAAAATATACTGCCAGCTATATTTACGGGGGTCAGTTGTCCGTAAGCGGATTGCGTGTCATTATTCGGAGGACGCGCGGAACGGAACAAGATGTTGGTCCGAGCGTCGAATCTATGAACTATTTACCTTACCTTATGAAGGTATGAGGCCTCGAACATGCTACCCTGCCAAATATGATGAATGATTTATCTTTATCATTGTTGGGGTCTGTGATAATTTCGATTACCTATCGATTCCAATGTTGTGCTCGAACGCAAGCAATCTGTTGTCCTAAACCAATGGATATCCTTGTGTGACAGTGATGCACCTCCCAACGCTAAAAAAAAAGGCAGCAAATAGGATGGTATAATGTACAAATAAGAGAATCATTTGTCGTAAACAGCCGTCAGTTAGCGAGTTCACCAGCATTTATTCGTCATCAGACAAATTCAACAACTCCAATTCCGTCTTGACCAGAGATTGGAATTCCGCACGTGAGATGCCCGTAATTTTCGCAAGCCGGAATAGGCTTTTGATATTGGAGCCGATATGTTGCTTCACGCCGACTTCACAAGCAGACTGATGCTCCGCTTCTTGCTCCAACTTTGCGACTGCCGCCTCTGAGGCAGTGGACGACGTGGAAGACGGCCGAGGATGATCTAGCGACATCGCGGTCGTCTCGTCGGCAATTGTTCCATTGGCGTAACCGTTCCTTCGAGCCGGTCCTTCCAAGGTTGAGCTATCCACCTGCTGCCGGAGCAAACTCGCCAGCATGTCTCCGTTCAACGAAGTTGGACCAAGGTCCGGTTGCTCCTCCGACGGATCGTGGTTATCCATTGCCGGTTGCACATCAGCGTAGCGTGAGAAATACGAAGCTTCGGACGCATCCTGGCGTTGAAGAGACGAAAGTGGATTGGGGGCAGGGGTCTTCACGGAAGGCGTTCGGCCAGGTGTAGCATCATACTGAGCCCAATAGCCGTCGTCATCGTCCTCCTCTTCGTCCTGATCTTGGGTGTGTGGGGCGACCTTCTGGTCCTGCTCTGCCTCCCTAAGAGCATCCTCCACCAATTGTTCCTTTGCCTGAGCATTCGCCTCCCCGATCGAGAATGACCAGACCCCGTCATTTTCAGCGCCGCCTTCATGGGGCATCAATTCAGCCACACGCCATCCGGGCCCACCTCCATCCTGATCATTGGGACACCAGAGATATACGGCTTTCAAGCTGTATTCCGGTAACAGAATTCGCGAGTGTAATGTCTCCTCATCCACCCGTTTGTACGCGACATGAACTTCTTCTGGGAGTTCGATCTCCCCGGATACCGGGTGAGGCTCGAAGCTTGCGCCATCCACCAGCGCTTGAAGACGCTCAGCCTTTTCGGAATCCCAGCATAGTAACCGCAACCACGAATCGGTCGGGGATGTGGAGACTGAACTGAGGATCTGAACACGCTGTCGGAGAATAGGTGATAGGAGGGGTAGAAGCACTGGAGGAGGGCGGGTCGAGACAAACGCTGTGGGGAGGCAAGCTAAGAGAGGAGGGAGCAAAGTATGAGGATCAGGCGGAGGAATCAGCTCAACCATACTGCCCGTTGTAGGAATACCAACGTTATCCAACTAGAGATTAAAGATGATTATTGTTGTTATGGTGGAGGCAACGAAATCAATAATAATACCAGACTTTTTGGTTGGCGGTGAAGGCGACCAGAGCGGGAGCATCAAACAAACAGAGACGTTGCGGAGAAGCAGTCGAAGCTGGGAGACAGGTGAAATGGCTACATATATGTACGATCGATCTTTCGAAGACAGCCAGAGTCTGGGGAGTCGAGCCATTCCCCATAGGCCATATATGGGATTACTTGTTATGACTCTGCTCCATATCATGAGACAGTTCCGCAGCTCCCTTCGCCCGAGCTGCAGCAAAACGTGGGTCCTTTTTAAGGGGACTGCGGGGCGAAATCGGATAAATGATAATGGTATATCAAATCACCGAGTGACTGAGTATCTCAATTGTCGGTTTCACTTATTAGAAGGGTAGAAGGGTTAAGAACAGAGGAATTGGCCACTGAGACACTCGGGATTCCCGGCGGAGGATCGGAGGATGCAGATCGTGATACAATAATGAGATACGATGATGCACCGCAGATAAGGTGACGCTTTACGGAGTATATGGGAGGGTCTAATCCAGTCTTTTGATGCCAGGTGATGTACATAACTCTGACAATAGTATTCTTTTAGGTGAATTTTGTTGCGACCTCAGTGCACATGAATCTTATCACTCAGCGAAGATATCCAAGGTACATAAATAAATAGATGGTCGGCCAGCGATGAGGATCAATGGAGATATATGTATCCACGTTGAGTCGGCCAGCAATACTCATTGATCAATATTGACACAGAAGCATTCTGTTGCACAGACCAGCACGAAGGTCAAGGATTCTCTTTCTTTATTAAATTTGGGATACTATTCACACTACTTGGTACATGACTTGTAAGCACAGATCACAGAATGTTGGCTAACAGGTAAAACAGACTATGATTATAATAGATGCTAGGATATCTACTACTAAGCAAAGCAAGCTTTCGATAGTTAAGATCGACTGCTCATGGTCAAAAGCCGAGGTCAGCGCCTTTGAGGCTCTAACCTAGGGCTGGAGAACAATCTTCGATGATGTTCGATAAGTGGGGAGGGAGCATCACTCAGAGATTGATAATGCTTGAATCAGCACTTCAACCATTCCGATGCGCTCGCCTTTGATATCCTCGGGCGATGCATGACTAATGAGGACTACTGTCCGATCCTGCAGCGTTACATGCTATATATCTAGGACTCGGTAGTACAAAATATTGATAAGCACCGAGGTCCAGAGTCTCAGCTGCCAGGAAAAATCCAATCAGATTTCATCCAATAGTCGAGGAGTGCATGTCGCCTTTCTTTCCCCCTTGTACTCTTCCTACACCCGCTGCATCATGACGGTCTTTTGAGTAATTCAACAATTCCTCCATTCAGAAAACAACAGCCAATGTGCAAGTGCATACAATGGCGGAACAATGTCATTCAGTCAACGACGCGAGTGCGGAGAAGATGGCATCCGCCCCCGATGCAGCAAAAGAGGCGGCGCTTCTCGTTGCCTCAGAAGGACAGCCCATTATACAGAATACCCCCGAGGAAGAGTGTACAGCATTGGAAAGACGCATTCGACTCAAAGTAGACATACGTCTCTGTACCATCGCGGGGATCCTATGCAGTCTCAACCTCCTTGACTCGGGCATTCTCTCATCGGCATCAGTCACAAGCATGTTTGAGGATCTTGACTTGCAAGGGTCGCGGTATTCGGTCTCTATCTTTATCTTTACGATTGCAAGTGTTGTCGCTCAGCTGCCTTGCACCGTTGCCGTGCGCTTGATCGGCCCCCGCATCTGGTTCGCCTCGATCACCTTCTGCTTCGGACTGATCACCTTCTGTACTGCGTTCATCCAGAATTGGAAGCAAATGATTGCCTTGCGCGTACTTCTGGGCTTTGCCATGTCTGGTATATATCCAGGATTGACGTATTTAATCAGTACCTGGTACACGCGCAAAGAGCAGCAACTGCGCTTTGCATTTCTGCAGTCCGGAGAGGTCCTTGTACTAGCCACAGGCACCATTGTCAACTACGCTCTGAACCGGTTGGACGGCAAGGCAGGGTTGAGAGGCTGGAGGTGGATGTTCCTCGTCCAAGGGCTCATCACCTGTGTCCTTGGCATCGTCACCTATTGGTGGATGGTAGATTTCCCCGAGCAATCGCAGAATAGCTTCTGGTTCCTGTCCAAGACGGAGGCCAAGGTGGCAGCGCAGCGTATCCAGACAGATCGTGACGATGTCGTGCCCGATCCATTCTCCTGGCGCAAAATCCTCGTCAATTTCCTTGACCCAAAACTATACGGATTCGCTTGCTTGTTCTTCCTGCTCAACCTCGTCTCAACTTCGCTCAGTTACTTCCTTCCCATCATTCTCCAGTCGGGAATGGGTTTTTCAAGCAACCAATCGATTCTACTCTCAACGCCAGTAAGTTTGACCTGCCACGCAGTCCACGACTATCTCACCTAATCCCCTTCCAGCCATACTACTGGTCCGTCATCCCAGTCCTCCTCACTTCTCTGATCGGCGACACCTATCGTGTCCGCGGCCCGCTCATCACCTTCAACGCGCTGTGCGTGATAGCCGGGTTCCTGATGTTCGGCCTCCCATCCTCCACTGAGGTCACCGTCCGGTACATCGGCACGTTCCTCGCAACAGGCGCATACGTCTCTAACTGGGCCGCCCTCAACGCCTTCATGGCCAACAATGTCGTTGGGCAGTGGAAACGGGTCACAACCGCGGCCGCCGTAGCTGCGTGCAATGGCTTGGGCGGAGTGGCGGGGAGTTATATCGTCCGGCAGCAGGAGGCGCCGCAGTATGCCACGGCCGTCTGGGTGTCTATCGGGTAGGATATCTCGTTAGCTGGGCCAGAAAGAAAGACGTTTGCTGATTTGTATTGTTCTTGTCTAGGTCGCATATCCTCATGATCGCTATCGTGGGTGTCTTCGCGATTACCTTCTATCGATGCAACCAACAAGCAGCTCGGGGGCGGAGGGTTATTCAGAATAAGGTATGCTTCTTAGACCGACTCGGTACTAAGCCATCCCTGGTCTTTCAACGCTAATCACTCCGTCAGGTCGGATTTCGATATACCTATTGATGTTCTACATCTCGTCGATAATGTCATAGACGGTAGACTGTTAGCCATCACACTTTATTTGAAATAGACCTCAAGCCACTGATGGATTCTTTCTTGTCAAAGCAAGATTGCTCCAATAATAGTTCTCCACACTATCCTCTGATTCTCCTGGCTTGAATACATGCATGCATACATACATCAACATGGTGTCCGTGGGGTATATGGTAAGTAAGCAAGGGCACCGTGCAAAGAAACCTAGTCCATATTAAATATCGCGTAGAAGTCAAAAATATGTAACCAGCCAAGTGAATTTCGGACCACCAAAGGAGAAATGAGATGTAGTTCATTCAGTTCACGCGATCTCTCTGCTCCAATTTCCCAACCAGCCGTTTCATTGCCGTCCATTCCTCCGCGGGCACGTCCTCAGGAGTACCACTGAGGCCCTTTCCTACCTCAAAGACTGTGATTACACCATCTAATCCACCGGTTGCAAGCCGCTTGCCCTCGCGTTCTTCCCACGCCACCTTGTTCAGGCTTCGCGTCAAGATACCGCCACGGCCTCGAGTCGGCGTGGTCCGCACAACGGGGACTTCGGTGTCCGAGCAGAGATCCCAGACCTCGAGATTCCCAGCTCCATCGACGAGAGAGAAGACTCCGGGGCGGTGAGGCGACCACCGGGCGTCGTAGACTACGTCCTCCCGGTTCAGATCGAGGATAGGTGAGACGACTTGCGTGGTCGCAATGGCAGCCGAGGTTGCCGGGGCAGTTGTTGCCGGTGGCCGCACACGCCACAGCTTGACGCTCCAGTCCAGACTGGAGCTCAACATCAGATCGCCGAGATCAACCGGGCCCTTCGCGGGATGGAAGGCAGTCGACATGACCGGCGCTGCATGGCCACGGTACGCGAGACGTTGGTCAGTGCCAGCCTTGGCCCCGGCTCGATCGTAGCGATGACAAGGATAAATACCCCCTTCTTCGGTGCCGACGATGAAGAAGGTTGGGTCCGATTGGGGGAACGACATGGTTGTGGGCGCCAGATCCTCTGTTTTGGACGGCGGGGGTGTGGATAGCTCGAGGTACTCCTGGGGCTGGGAAAGCATATCAACGGTCCATCCACAGACAACGCCGTCTGTCGACGCGGTCAAGATATTGTGCGCATTTTGTGTGCCTATGATTGAGATGCTGTACACGGGGTGTGTATGCCCTGACCCAGTCAGGGGTGTCTTTTGCACAGGAGCACCACCACCGGCGCGGGACGATCGTGTATCCCAAAGCAAAACCTGCCCAGAGTACGATCCTCCGACGATGAGGTTGGGGTGAAACGGGGAGAATTTGGCCGTCAAGATATCGGAAGTCGAATGGAACACATACTCAGGGCGAGACTGCAAATGTTGGTTCCAAACCTGGACTAGGCCATCCGGTTCATGAGGAGCAGAGGGATTCTTCGTGTATGCTGCTAGAACTAGTTCCGGAAACTGCAAAGTAAGTCAGCCCTGTGAAGATATCTTCATGGGATACGGGACGACTGACCTTCGGAGAGAAACTCAAATCACTTATCATGCGTTTCTTGCTCCATCGCTCGTCCCAGAACTGGCAAACCTCCCTGATGCTCTTGCGCTTTCGTCCATGTTCGTCATCTTCTTCCAGATCGCCATCAACTCCGCCAAGCTCGTAGTCCGCGAGCACGTCGTACTCCTCATCTAGAGCACGCTCGATCACTTTCGCTGAACGTTCAACGAAGTCGAGGAAGTCCTCGGAAGAAGTGACGGCCTTCAGTTCGTCCTCATCGAGCGTACGTAAAGGATAACGTAGGTTTGTAGCCTGGGCACCAGGCCCACCAACAGCCTGCTGTTGGGTTGCCTGCAATTCCTCCTCAATTTCTCTGCGAAGCTTTCTTCGAATTTCCTCATCGTGTTCGCGGTCCCTCTTGCTTAGGCGTTTGCTTGATCCAGTACCATCCTCAAACTCTCCAGTTTCTGACTCCGAGTCCAACAAGTCTGATTGGCGTTGCTTCGAGTCATCTGTTTGCACTCCCTTGCTGTATGTAACGACTTCTGGCTTAGGTTCAGGGGCAGGCGCAGGTTCAGAAGAGGCAACAAAGGGGTCCGTCACGTCAGTCTGAACGGCGATTGACTGCGAAAGCGGTCTCGTGGCGGAATTGAAAGCTTCGGTGTTATCTCCACTCAACTGGCTAGCACTCAGTACCGAGTTCGGCCTGCTGCCTTTTCGTGAGGGGCCGTCTGCATGGCTGACAGAGGCCGATCCGGGGCGATCAACAAGGCGAGCAATCAGGTCATCGAGCTCAGCTCTGCTATCTGAGCGACTCGGCACAGGCGAGACGACCTTTGCAGACGGTACGTCAGAATCTGGCTTTTCCTTTCCACGTTCGTGACCAGGGTATCATACCTCTGAAGCATCTCCTCCGGTGCTGGCCCGACTCTGCGAGAATTCCTTCTGTCGTAGCTCTCTCTGGCGTCTTAGCTCGGCCAGCTTAGCCCTTTTGGCCAGAATTTCAGCTTTACGTTGTTGCACAGATGACATGACGGATTGAGTGAGTGCAGAGGTCAAATTGGGGGAGTCCCATCCAGTCCTACTACTAATTGGTTATTATTTACATGCGGCTTCGCGTTCCGCAGATACTCCGTATCCCGTAGTCCCGCACCCAGAAGGGAGGCCGGTTTGGCGGATGACATAAGCGCAGTAGGCCGACGGTCCGGAAAAACTCGCGACAAGGACTTCGCCTTGACAAGCCTCTTGTATAGGTATCTCCGTCCGTTTGCCTGCCATTGACAGTCGATACCCTTTGAAACGGTTGCTCGGTATCCGGCCTGCTGTTCAATCTCGCATTTAAATCCTTTTGCTCGCCGCTTCGGGGGACAGGATCTTCTTAAAATGGCCTCACAGGGTGTTAACGTGAGTGTCCGCCAGCACCCATCATCGATTCCTCGACCATCTATATTGACATGAATCGGTTGCATCACAGGTTCTACGCTACTCGGCTCTCGTTGCCGGTCTCATTTATGGCGTCTACCACCAGAACTCTATCACAGCTCAAGCCAAGCAAGCAGAGGCCGCACGTGAATATGCTCGACAGGAACGCTTGATCCAGCAGGCCAAGGCAGAGTGGAAGAAGAAGACGGCGCCCAAGGACACCAAGACAGACAGCGGGGGTATGTTCTGACAACAAGACTCATCACGATTGCCTGGTCTTTGACTGCCAGCATCATGTGCGACGTCGCGCTAATTGGGTTGCTTACAGTCATTACGGATCCCGAAGACAGCCGGTTCGACCTGGAGGCCTACCTGAAGATGAAAGCTGGGGAGCTATAGATTCGATCATTGAGGATACTGAAATATAGAATGATTGGCGCTTTTTCCTCCTTGCGAAGACTGTACCTCCCTTTGGTACAAGAAAGATGGCTCGGGTCCGCCCCGAATATGTATTATTGATTGGTCTAATTCCCAGTTTCGTGTTGCGAGCGAAAGGAATGATTTTCTGTTGTTCTTCTAACCTATAGATCTTCCTCCGAGACGTGTACATACCCTGGGGTGTCTGCATCTGTACACTACAGTTGGACCAGAAGAGCAAGAATTGTGTGGGTTTTCCGGTTTCGCCGCTGATCTCTATCTCCCGCACGCTATCGACTACTCCGTGCAGGTTGTAAGCGACGCCGCATCCAGAGGGCATGTGTAGGAGCAGGAAGCCATCGAAATGGCTCTGTCAGGGTTGCCGGTGGCCACAGCTACTGTCTTAATTCCTCCTCACGATTTGAGTTACCATAGCTTCAAGCAAGAGCTGTAACGCTTGTTGACCACGTCGACTTTTTCAGCCGGAATGAGATCCCATCAGCGCCATGACCTCGCCCAACCCGTTGGAGGAGTGTCCAATCTTTTCCCTAGGAGTGGTAATGGGTTGGGGATAGAGGAGCCCGGTTTCCTCATCCCATCTCCACCCGCAGGCTGTAAATTTGCTTATGATAGCCGGATCGCCCTGCTTCGCGGCGGTTGCATCAAGACCAAGGTAGTTTGCAGCCGCATCAGGCCGAATCGCTTCGTAGGCTCGGCTGACTTCCTTTAAGGTCTTTTCCTGGAAATGAACTAACCACAAGAATAAGGATCCAGTCAGTCGGAGATATAGTACAGGATGTGGCACTGACGTTCGTATTTTCGTACTGTTGGCTCAAGCATCTCAGGCCACGGTAGGTCTCTTAGAACCTTGTATACGTGCTCATACTTTCGTTGCCAGACAGCTCGCAATAACCTCAAACAGTTTTGAAGGGTAGCATCATTTTGCGCTAGGTCCTGTGGCATCCGCTTCGTCATGGCGCGGGCCTCGTAGCTATGCAATATTGCGTTAGTACTTAGTAGGCTGCGTGTCTGCAACTAGAATTCGTGAGACTCACATATCATCAAGGAGAAGGTGGGAGAAGAAGAAACTCGAATAAAACAAGCTCAAAAGATCCGCTTCTTCGCTATTCGACGTTGAAAGGAAACAGGCAGGACCTTCATATTGTGACAATGCCTCGTAGAGTTCAGAAGCCGAACGAGCGGTTGCGAGTACTGTAGACAGCTGCTCCTGAGAGAGGGGCGGTAGATCCATTATGGAAATAATATCCTTGCCGCTGTCTGTCGGACTGTGATGGAAAGGGTGGTTCTTTGTCAATCGTGTTATTGTACCTCTCTAGCTGATTGCGTAGGTCAAGTAGCGATGCCGATGCGGGGACGACTCGGAGGTCCCCCAAGCTTCTCCGATAATCGATTTAGTTAGATGCGGATACGGGCAAACTGACTAGTATGTAACGTAGACTGACTGCGTACCGTACCTGATGCCAAGCCTCCAGAAGAGACCACCTTGCGAAGCTCTCCCCCAAGCAGTACATTGGCGTGACTAAACGTCCAACTAACTCTCTCTCATCGGCTACAGAGCACGTCGAGAGAGACATACTCTCTTTTGTTTTTCTCAATTGATATTTCTTTTTCATTCCTCTGGCCATTATGGCCGAAACACCTGTTGATGTTCTCCTAAAGGGCAAGACTGGCAGAAACACACGCGGCCTTTTGCGGATTATTATCCTATGTACCATTGCAGCAGCAGCAGTTGCCAGTCGACTCTTCAGCGTTATCCGTAAGTCATCGAGGGATCAAAATGCTCATTTTGTTAATTTACCAAATCGACTGATCAATTTCCTTTTACCAGGCTTCGAGAGTATCATCCACGAATGTATGTATAGGTCAATCGTTTACCAACGGCCTTCAGCCTTCAACGAACTTCGATGGAACGAATTGATGCTGACGCTCCATGATATAGTTGACCCCTGGTTCAACTTCCGAGCAACAAAATACCTAGTACAGAATGGTTTCTATAGTTTTTGGGATTGGTTTGATGACCGTATGTGGTTCCCCACCGTACAAGAGTGCATGAAGCAACATGTCACCCTCCTGGAGTGCTTCTAGACTGATCGAAATTCCAACATAGGGACATGGCATCCTTTGGGACGTGTCACTGGTGGCACGTTATATCCCGGTCTCATGGTGACGAGCGGCGTGATCTACCATATCCTGCGATTCCTCACTATCCCTGTCGATATTCGCAACATCTGCGTCCTGCTGGCGCCAGGATTCTCCGGCCTGACTGCATTGGCAATGTACCTGCTGACGTCTGAGATGTCTCCTTCGCCTTCTGCAGGTCTTCTTGCGGCAGCATTCATGGGAATCGTCCCTGGTTACATCTCCCGATCGGTTGCCGGAAGCTACGATAACGAAGCGATTGCCATCTTCCTGCTTGTATTCACATTCTTTCTATGGATCAAGGCTGTCAAAAATGGATCTATCATGTGGGGAGCGCTGACCGCGCTTTTCTACGGCTACATGGTGTCGGCATGGGGTGGATATGTCTTCATTACGAACTTGATCCCCCTACACGTTTTTGTACTTCTGTGCATGGGTAGATACAGCACTCGCATCTACATCAGCTATACCACATGGTATGCGCTGGGGACTCTGGCTAGCATGCAGATTCCCTTCGTCGGATTTTTGCCTATTCGAAACAGCGACCACATGTCCGCCTTGGGTAGGTCCATGCTTCGCAAGTCCAAATGAACGTTCAGGAGCTGACATTCTGCAGGTGTCTTCGGACTGCTTCAACTTGTGGCCTTCGCCGAGTTTGTCCGCAGCTTCGTCCCAAGCAAGCAGTTCCAGAGACTTCTGACCGCCATGATCTTCATCACCTTCGGTCTCGGTTTCCTTGGGCTTGTTGTTCTGACTGTGACGGGAGTGATCGCTCCTTGGAGCGGCAGATTCTACTCCTTGTGGGACACTGGCTATGCCAAAATCCACATTCCCATCATTGCCTCGGTCTCGGAGCACCAGCCCACCGCTTGGCCAGCGTTTTTCTTCGATCTGAACTTCCTGATCTGGCTTTTCCCGGCAGGAGTCTACATGTGCTTCCGCGACCTCAAGGACGAGCATGTCTTCGTCATTATTTACTCGGTCCTTGCAAGCTACTTCGCCGGTGTCATGGTTCGACTGATGCTGACCTTGACCCCTATTGTGTGTGTTGCAGCTGCTCTGGCGCTGTCTTCGATCCTCGACACCTATATGGCCACCACTTCCCCGACACCAGCATCTGAAGTCAAAACGAATGAAGACTCGTCTTCAGAACCACTTCGCTCAGTTCGGAAGCCCAATATTGGAATCACCTCCTATGTGTCAAAGATTATAATGACGGCGTCTGTTGTCGTCTACCTGATCCTGTTTGTTGCACACTGCACCTGGGTTACTTCAAATGCATACTCTTCTCCTTCCGTTGTCTTGGCTAGCCGGATGCCAGACGGAAGCCAACACATCATTGACGATTATCGTGAGGCTTACTACTGGCTTCGTCAGAACACTCCTCAGAACGCCAAAATTATGTCATGGTGGGATTATGGCTACCAGATCGGTGGCATGGCGGACCGCCCGACCCTAGTCGACAACAATACCTGGAACAACACCCATATTGCCACGGTTGGTAAGGCGATGAGCTCCCGCGAAGAAGTCAGCTACCCCATCCTCCGCCAGCACGATGTTGATTACGTGCTGGTGGTGTTCGGTGGTCTGCTAGGCTATTCTGGCGATGACATTAATAAATTCTTGTGGATGGTCCGTATCGCCGAAGGTATCTGGCCCGATGAGGTCAAAGAACGGGACTTCTTTACTGCACGGGGTGAATATCGTGTGGACGATGGAGCGACCCCAACCATGCGCAACAGCTTGATGTATGAATTCCCCCTTTCCCCTCGTGTCTACTACGCTGCGTCATGCTAATTCAGAGATTCAGGTATAAAATGTCTTATTACAATTTCAACTCTCTCTTCCCGTCAGGCCAAGCTGTCGACCGCGTCCGCGGGTCGAAGCTTCCAACAGAAGGTCCCCAGCTTTCTACACTTGAGGAAGCTTTCACGAGCGAGAACTGGATCATTCGTATCTACAAGGTCAAGGATCTCGACAACCTTGGCCGAGACCACAACCAGGCGGTTGCCTTCGACAAAGGTCTTAAGAAAAAGCGGAGTACCAAGAAGAAGGGACCTCGGGTTCTGAGAACCGAATAGAGGACAGGATTCAAGCTTTTCTTTTTGACTGATTTATAGCGCGACATGAGTGCAAATCATAGCAACAACTGTCGAGCATTCTTTCTCATTTCCGTATTGTAGTCCAGAATCCCATCCCCCTCGGGAGTCCAACGGAGACGAAGGCTCGACTAGATTCGAAGATACCAGCTTTGTCCATATATAAATGATTCCTAGATGGCAAGGCGCTTTAGAAGTGATCCACGACCGTGAGATCTTCTGGTAAAAAGTGTAGTAGAAAAAAGAGGCGAGAAGAGATCGAAACAATTCCAATATAAAAACAACATAGAGAATATACAGCGAAGATAATCAGTTTGTCACCTGTACTCCGTACCCCAATACACCATGGCTGATACAATGATCGAACAATTGGCCGCAAGTGCCTTTGAAAAGTTCCCCAACTCGTAGTGAGCTAGGTAGAGGCAGACGGGATGGCTCATTGCTTCTGCTGCTGAGGTTTTGCGGGAGTATCGGGGACCTTCACGTCGGAGAATTCGTCCTGACCAACTGCGCGGATGGTGTATGCATCTGGGAAATTACCTTTTGTATAAGCGAACCATGCTTCTCGTCGTGCCTTCTTCTCAAGAAGTGGGGTTCGTGTGGAGTACATACAGACACTGATTGTGAAAGCGACGAGACCGAGCCCAGTAAGAGCATTCTTGAAGAGATACGGGCGACGAGCGCGAAGGAGAGCCGCACCAGCGCGGTAGTCCTTGCCGTAATATGTTGAATTGAAACTAGACAGAGATGTTGGTCAGCGACTCATTCGAAAGAGTATGGTGCGATTGTGATTGAGCCAGCTGCTCGTAGTTGCTGCAGATTGTAGTGCGGTGGATGGAGTCGGCATACATTCCTGCAGGCATTGTGTGCAAGTAGAGTCTGTATGTTTGAATGAAGGAAAGGCAAAGATGACAGAAGCCGGAGTGATTTCTACGCCAATATGTATGATGACCTGGAAAGTTGACGATGATTGGAACTCGGGAAGAGAGCAGGGTCGGCGTTTGTGGTGTGCTTTTCTGCCGGCAGAACAAACGCGGACAACGGCTGCTAGCTGTACTATGTAAAGTGCTCTCCTGTTGCCAGCTTGGGTCCTAACCATTTCTCTCAAATTGCATCTTCATCAAATAGTCATCTGTAAAGATTCACTGGCTAAAGACTCTAAGCTACTTTTTTCCCATAAAGTAGCATTGAGTGAGGTTTCTCACAGCAGCCACACAAAGAGCTCTCGGGTCGGCCAAACTCAACATCCGCCGGCGGACATCCAAGAAAAGCGCCAATCCTCGCCATCTCCTGCTGTCTAGTCTACTACTACTTCTATTATCGTCATCATCATCAGCGTCATTTTCTTCAACACATCATCACCAAGTCAATTAACGCCAATTAGTAGATCAAATCTTATACGCTTCCCGAAGCCTGTTCACCCATTTCACGGAGCGTTTTGTTTTGCGGAAGGCTCGAGTCCCCATCTACCGCTGTCCTATTGCGTATCCGGCTATTCTTTACGCGTCCATGGGGTGTGTCTCGTGAACGCCGTGCTTTCCGTCGGTCCTATGTCTTAGGCCGGTCTTCTTCATTTACATATTCGTTTGCTCTGAATTTATGCGGCGTAGACACTAGCAAGGTGGCCATTACCTCGACCATACCATACCTCGAAATATTCTCCAATCCGGGCCCTTTCATATAGCTGTTGAGCGCAGTTATTATGTCTGAGACTGCGGCAAGCCACCTTGCCGACCAGGTCGCACAGCTCAATGCTGCTCGAAATCTCGTTCTCGGCGACGCCGCCTTCTATCCGCAGATTGTGAACGGCATCATTCCAATCATCGGTGCGCACGCGCGATTGGAACTGCGACGATGGGGAGCGGAATTCCTGGCAGAAACATTCGCCAGTCCCGCTTTGGCGACGGCGCAAAAGGAACAATTGGCGGGCAGGGTGTTACAGACGATACGAGAGATCTTAGAGTTGCCTGAGGGAGACACCCCGGTCTTGAAG